AACGCATGATACCACCGTGCATTAATACGTACTTAGATTCTTGATCATCGAAGAATTATTTTGTCGCTGCGTCTGATTCTGTGATTGGGTTTCCACGGTATGCATTTTTTCTGACATAATAATATCACCATTAAAACAATACATCGCCAGGTTTCTTAACATAATCGTTAACTGACTTACCTTGATCAGCAAAACAAACGATATTATTAATATCCGTGTTGGGAATTCGTATAAATACATCTGGCAGTTGTATGCTGCTCGATTTTAATCGTTCTGGTTGATCCTGAAAAATGACTTCATTTTTATCAATACTTGTGATATTTAATAAACTCTCGAATTCATTTCAATATTATTTAGATAAATCGACTTTTTGATCTTCCATAAATATCTACTATTATGTTTACTAATGTTAGTTTAATTGTGACAACGCATTATATTCATGCACGGTTTTATGAAGTGGCGCTGTTGATTTTGATACTGCATCAAATACAGCGAGGGTTTCACGACCACATACTGCAGGATCCGTTATTGTTTTTTTTTTGTTGTTGTTAATGTTGAATACCAGATCTTGGAGCGCATCGAATTCTTTCTTCGATTTATGCTAACAAATTTCAAAACTTCTTTTGATGGCGCCAGTCAATACAAATCTGAACAAAAAACTCATATGCATATGCGACCCTATGGGTGCCTGGACCAGAGTTTTTATCGAGATTAATAATACCAGTTTCATACTAAATCGCAACAGTAGGTAATTGATCACGCATAAAAACTCCGTTGAAGACATTTATATTTAGTTGCTTAGCTTCATTAAATAAATCAAAATTAGACATGAGGAAAATCATAAAATTGTCCGGGACAGTCTTAGACCTTTGCCTTACAACGAATATGGGGTCCCTGGAAGTTTTAGACCCCGACCGTATGTTGGGCTGGTAACCTTAGACGGCCCGGCTGTGGCACCCTTAATGCTCTTATACGTCCTCTGCGTTGCTTTGCCCGTGATATTTTTTAAAGTTTTCTGCGTGCATAATTTCTTGACTGGTTGCTTTCATTAACGCCTTTCCAGCAGCGGCTCCAACAGCACCTATTGCAACTGCTTTTGCAACAACTGGAGCTGCAGCGACTATTATTGCTGGTATTACTGCGAGAAGTGAAAATTACCACCAGTATTAGCAATTTCTTTGATGGTTGTTTGCAGAAAGATTAAGTTTAACACCCTTATTGGATTATTGGCTTTATTGAAGGTTTAGAACTGACGCTTGGTCAACGATAATTTATTTAAACCGCTCATTTGTTCTTTTTTTTAGCGATATTTTTATTCCGCAGTTATTTTTTTATGCTGATTGGAATCTGTTGATCTGACCAGGATTCAGGCTAACACTAATGTGATTATATGACATTATAGTATTATGAACAATCTAATTACATGTTTTTAACTGGAGCATCAACAACTCTCGTTTGTCCACCAACACATTCAAGTAATATTGAATTATTGCGGAGTATAAAGGCTATTGCTCTATAATCAGCAATAGCTCCTCTGTTTACTCGAGTTCTAAATCTAAATGTTCCAGCGAAAAGAAATAAATCGGATACAGCGTGGTAAAATCTGAGATATTTGTAAACCAGAACAAATATTCTGATCACGCCCCATGAATGTCATTAATCGATGATATGCATGTGCATTAATTAATAAAACATCCCCAGATGGTTATTGATGGCCATTTTTTAAAAATGAAACTTCACTAACTCCTAATTTATCAAATATCATATGACAATTATTTTGATCAATTCATCATGTAGCGTCTTGAAGTACAATTAGTATATGTCTTGTTGCAGAATCTCCTCTCTGTGATGCTATTTGCCATGTAAATAAACCATTACTATTTGCTGCATCTGCAGTTGTTGTTAACCATGACAGCATTGATTTACCACCTTGACTCATAAAACCAAGTAAATGTTCTTCTTCAGGTATTGTTGGAATCATTACTGGCATCTACGGAGAAAATTTTGTTAGTATTACTTGACCAGCATCACCATTTGATCGCCATATCGCATCATTGTCGGTACCTTTTCTAAAAAGTACAACTGCATGCTTAGCTCCATAAATAACTTTTCTAACATTTCTGCAAAATCCAAAAAATATGTAATAATGGAATCGCACATGAAAATACATGAAGTGATCGAAATCCTAAGTTGAAATCTATATCTACATTAAATAATCATTCGTTGTAAATCCGCATCGGCGTTGTTGACGAAGTTTCTAGGTCATCATATTTCATATTGTTGGTACTCAGGAGAATTAAAAGTATCTTTTACAAACAATATTAATGGACCAGCTGATCTTGAATAATCATCGCTGTATCTTGCAAGACAAAGTATTATTGTAGCTATGTCAACATCTTTATTAAATGTTTTAATTTCACTTCCATCAATCATTTACGTAGCGCTGTCAAACAAGGCAATAATACCATTATTAACAAAATTAAGACTAATATTATCGGCGTATTCAGTATCAACTATTTTTATAATTTCACTCTCTTCTTCAATGAATGCTTCAGCGTGTAAGAAATATATATGTATCTCGAACCTTTAGCCCAATTCGACTGCGCTGATCTGAAATTCGTGCGTCATAAGAATAATAGTGATAACCCCGCACAGATTCATCTTTTAAAACTGTTGCATCCATGTCAAAAATGGGATCAAATATGCGTTTGAACACCTTTATTATTATCATCTTCGTTTAACACGAAGATCGCTTTTTGCTATCAAACTAGTAGTTATATTTTTTCCTGTTCCGATAATAGTACCTGTTCTAATTTTACTAGTTTTTGATCAGCATCTTGATTTATTATTTTATTGACATTTGCTAGCATCATTTCAGTGCTGGGTAATTTTACAGGTTGAAATTTTCGTCGTATTTAATCGCGCTAGTCTATCTTTGATTGCTGAGAATTATTTGCTAGCAACATACCTAGAACACTGGGATCTTTTTCACAAACACAATCAATAGCTTTCATTCTTAGTCGCTTTGAAATCGGCATTGCTTTTGGGGTTATCCTTCTATATCGACCGAGAACAACATCACCTAGTCCATCTCCACAGATCGTTTTGTATACTGGTAATCGTGAATTTATTTCCCTGACCATGGTTGGTTTACGAGTATTATGTATGATCACCTTATTATTAAGTGAATTTATCACTAATTACATACTAAGTCACTATGATAATCATTGGCGATTTCATTAATGAGGGACCGATATACATTAATATCCAGAACAGCGCCTGTAAATAAGCGTTGACATATATCAGCTGCTTCATTAATGATTTATGGGGAAATTATTACCAGCTCGTTTTCCTCCAATGAGGATTTCTAGTCGATTAACATCAGCAAGAACTTTATTAGGACAAGTAATAGAACCACTTCCTAAACCACTTCGAATTGCTCAAGTAGAATCTCCAAAGAACGTGCTGCGTTCCATTTCAGGATCTTGATATTCTTTCTCTTTTGTTCTCACTGGCTGTTGTGGTGATTTCTATAGTTCCATTATTTATTGTCGTTCTTGTTCTCGTTGTTGTAGCTCTTGTTTTAGTTGTTGTGATCGTTGTGGTGTTAGTTGTTCTTGTTGAGGTGATGGCAATTCAAATTGTTGTGGTAGTGATGGCAGTAGATGATGGTAATATTCGTGTACCTCGTTTAGCTTCTTCTATATATCTATTTACAGCCTCATTAAATCTGTTAAAACTTCTAATATCTTCATTATATCTGATTCTGGAATACCAGTAGCTATGCGATATACATCCTTAAGCCAATTAGCAGAGCTTATAGATTTAACATGTTCTGGTTTTACATATTTTTGTCATTCATAATATCCATACGCGGCAATATCAAATAATTGGTTTGGTTCATAGATAGCAGCAACACCTTCAGGCAAAAGTTTATCTATTATCATAGTTCTTGGTATTTTAGGTGCTGGTTGTGGTGCTTGTGGTGGTGGTTGAGCTGCTTGAATACCTCCAGCAATATCAACAGGCTATGTTTCAAGAGCTTTCTGCGTTGTCTCAGTTGCTGTAACAATTTTCTTTGTTGGTTCAAAAATCGGTTTCAATAATTGTTCTGCACCTTCTGCAACTCCCTCTTGAGACTCATGACGAGTTTGTAGTTGTTTAACTAAATTACGGATATGAAGATATTTTCTAATTGCCTCTAGTTGTTCTTGAGCTAATCTAGTTGTGTGAGATTCTCCTGTCATTATTGATATAACGATAATGATTTAATTATAGCAGCAGAGAAAGTGAACGACCAATTCCGAGTCGGAGCTACAAGCTAAACCCAATTAGATAAATCTCAAGGTTTTGGTCAAGCTTTATCGACCTTTCGTAGGAAGGTTTATTTTTTTTATAAAAGATCTCCAGGCAAAAAGGTCTGTTCACCCTCTGCTTGCTTAAATTTGTTAAGTATTTAGCAACAAGATAAGCATCAGAGAGGGTGTGACCTCAAGATTGTTCTCATCGTTTGTGTCTGTTGATGAGAACAAATATAAAGAATAAGTTTTTTTTTTTCTTCCCATAGTTGAGATAAAAAGTTCGCCTGGCGCAAATTAGTCTGTTCACCCTCTCTGCTGTTCCTATATACGTCTTAAGTTACAACAAAATAGGGAATCATTTATTTGGCAGTTAATTGCTGGTGCTTACATACACACGCTGTCGAACAGGGTCCAAACGGCAGTCCTTTTCACAAGATAAATACAAGGATAAAAATTGCTGTTGTTTTGGTTTTGATTTTAACGTAGCTTTAACAATTTTTCAGTCATATCGCTACGATGTCTGCAGTCTGGCAGTTTATAGTGATGTCTAGCACTGGAGCACCATGCCGCAGACATGTAGCATGATGTCCCACCCAGTCACATTATCCTGACACCAGGCCGACCAGTCCTAACACTAACCTCTTAATGTTGAGTGTCAAGCGAGGAAGCTGGTAGTACCATTTTTGTAAGTCTTTTGGAATGACTGGGCTGGGGATTGAACCCACGATATTCCGCATCCGAGGCGGACGCTCTAACCACTAAGCCTCCAGAGCGGTTTGATAAAAATTAACTTTTAATTATACACACTGATATTATTGCTTGTGTACTTAAGTCAAAACTTAAGCTATTTTGCAGTTTAGCCACAGATGACCAGGATATGAAAGAAGGGGCTTGTCCTGAGGGATTATAAGGTGTATCACAGGGAGAAATAGCGCGTCCCTTGAGCGCTCGCACATTGGGACAAGGAGGGGGGTCAACAGTCGTCTCTACCCTCCCGATTTCTTTTTTCAGCCTGTTAATATGAAACTTTGATTTTATCCCTGACCTATATTCTTTTAATCGCTGATATTTAAACTGCTTAATGGATAGTTTATATCATTTCCAGCCACTACAGATTACTGTTTATACATGCTACATGTAACCGGCATAATCGGAAAGGTTATTTCTTTAAATTAAAAATTTTTGAAATTGGGTCAGGGGTTTTGAATTGTATTTTTTTTTAGCAAAGCTTCCATTTCAATAAAATCAGATATAAGTTTCACCTAGGACTGCGGTGATTTGATTTAGACTTTGCCGCGTTACTAAACGCATTGGTTACTACAAAATAACCTATCAACGAATTACAATATTAATTCTGTTGAGCTAACAATCTACATAATTCTCTATATAACTCAAATCCATCTCAAATACACATATAAATGAAACACTAGAAGGTAATTATACATACTAAGCAATCCCATTAAATAAGTATACATGCTGCAAATACAATTAGGAAACCGTAATGTTTTGAAAAAAATCGAGTAAATAACTTACTGACCAATTCAAAGCTTTTCATTCTCTTACAATTCTGGTCCTAAGATTCCCGGCAAATTACAAGTGGCTTCCGCTCGGAGTAACAATATACTGCTTATGAATCTTCCTAGGTGTCTACTGATAATTTTACAGTGAGTTTAGCCCTAATTCTGATCTATGGTTTAATCACACTCTGTATCTTAATTCCGATTGGATGTCGCTGTCGAATGACCCAATCAAAACGTAGCTGACAATGTCTTCACGCTGCCTGTCTATCCGGCTGGTGAGAACATGTCCCGGTCACCCTGCAGGCATCCTTTTGATCTCTGAACCAATGTTTAAAGCCTGGGTGTGAAAAGTACAAGCCTTTGACTAGCGGCTATTCTATAGTCTGGGTGGATGGCACTTGCATAAAAGATTAACACTGCCTGCGGAGTTGTTTGCACATCAAATACAGTAATAATATCCAAGTTTATAATTTCCCGATGTAAAGGACCATGTTTTTAGGTAGATTTTTGTTTTTTATTGTTAATGGCGGTATAATACATTAATTAGACACATGTACGATTAACGAGATTTATGGGGAATAACTGCATTTACAGAGTCATAATGTACGGATTGGTTCAACCAAAGTCAGGAGTTATCGATATATAATTAAGGAATTAGTTTTGTTTAAACTGACCAGAAATGGGTCAAATTCTGATCGGTATGCGAAAAGTCATGTCTGAAAGTTAAGAGGAATTAGATAATCAACGGTGGCCATACGAACTACATTGTTTCAACATTGTTCGGGGAGAAGTGTATTTCATTTCGATTGGTTACGATGTAAGGGGGCTTGGTTTCATGTGGAAAACTCTTCAGTTTGAATGCGCAAATAGAAAATTTAAAAATGAATCTACGCTTTATCCTACTATACAGGAACGTAAAAAGAAAGACTCTGAGCTGAATTTAGAAGAAATTCGCTCGTAGAAATCATCCAGGGAAAGAAATTGTCTGGGCAAATTTACAGACACGTTCTGGAAGTAAGAGCTTGGAAAAACAAGGGCCGGGATAGCTCGAAGTCTACGCTCTTCGATCTACACTATGTATTTCGTCTTACGAACCCAGAGTGGACACAAAATTGAAAGGAGCGAAAAGGACGGGACACATGTAAATTTGGTAAAGAAAGTCAAAGTGAAGGAGACCTGTACTTACCAGTACACGGAAGTCAAAGGGATGAGAAGCTGTTGAATTTGGACTGAAACAAGACTATAAGACTACGAAAATTGTATAAGGCAATGACTTCGATATATTCCACTTGATTTAAATGATGATTTAAATTCTATCACGTAACAGATCAGCCATTGGTATCGTTATTTCTTGTATTCGAAAATTCGTGCAAGAAGTTAAGGCAAATTAAGATGTGTATCTTTCGATCGTATTGTGCTAATATTACTTTTGTTATGAACGGTATTGTTAGAATAAATTTTGTCCTTATTTGTAATGGGGGCTCGTTTTATTCTGTTCTAATGTTTCTAAATAAAATGTTTCTAAATAAATGAATCATCTAATGTTATGGATGAAAAGAAATAAAGAGTTCGAATTCACTCCATTGTCCCCTCCTTAGTCAGCTGATAAGAAGCATACTTATCCCTGGTGCAGTACTCCCGTGTAGTAATATCTGGACCTAGCTCGTCCGTTACGTAGACAAGTTTACCACTTTATGGATTGCACTCGAAAGAGATATAATCACAGGCTGGACCATCTCTGTTATACTCATAATCAAAGCAGCAGAACGAGGAACATGAGGGCCTAAAATAATGCAATGCACGTACCATGCAAGAGGGGATTAATTGACAGTCACCACTGACACACATGTCCAAGCACGACGAGAGTTGACAGTACTGTATGAGACTGTATCATGGATTTGTATGAAGTTAATCCAGAGAAGTTCAGGAGCTTGTTGATTAGAAACTCTTGTGTCACCTCCCAGTTTGTGATGAAGATCCATGACGAGGAAATCCCACGCATCCATGATAATCTGGCAATTTGTTTTTGATGCAACGCAGAAAAACAACCCAGACCACATCAAACAGAACAAAGAACCAGGAAACAGAAGGGATGCAGAGTATTGACAAATCATGACTTCCAGTGAAATTCAAAACATGGGTGTACCAGTATAGACTGCTGTGTCGGGCAATTGATGCTAAACGAGAAAACAGAGTCTCACATTGATTTACATCAGACCTGTAGTGCTCCATGGGGGTCAAAACAAGGATCTTTATGATGCTGAAGCACTTAAATGAAAAGAAAATGGCTGCTCCAGACATTGAAGTTGGGAATGTTGAAAACTGGTTAGTGTCCAGTGCATTTCAATAAGCAGAGAGTAGACTACAGCACAAGGACATAGTTTGAGCAACTGACTTGGAAGGCAAGACTTGGGATCTGGTCACACCAAGATCTGGAAGGAAGCTACTCGGCTAAGACAAGAGTAGTGCTCCAGGATGAGCTTTTAAACGTGGAAGAAGTGAGTCGACAATCAAAAGTTTTCAACGGGGAAGTCATGGGACATGGACTAGGTGGTCTTTGCCAGAGAGGAATATACAATGGTTTGACATTCGGAATAATTAGTTCTCTGGATCCAATTTACTCTTAGATCAGCGTATAATCTTTTGGAAAAAAATGCTCAATTAGCGCCTTATTAAAAATCATAGTATTCTTTCTGTGGTAAGAGAGTTTGTCCATAGCACATCCCGTCAACTTGCAAGCCTACATTAATATAAGGCAAATAGAGATGGGGGCATGGCCGAGTCCTCCAAGACCTTGCAGACATTTTGGAAAGGGAGAGAAAGAAGAAAGAATAGCACCAATCACCATGTCAAGATTTATTACCTTTGTCAAAGAGGAGGAAACCAGTAACACCTCATTACGGAGAAGGGGACTCTTTGGTGAATTAAAGAGTTAGGAATTCATGTAGATCTTGGAAAGAATTGGTTTTCCCCGGAAATAGTCCAGGCGTCCTTTTGTTTATATGTTGTGATTTAGTTAGCGATGCGACTCTATGGTCTTAAACTAAGTAGCAAAGAAAGAGCAAAAGTCAACAAGTTTAGTAAAATTCATCAAATAATTCTCTAGAATAAAAAGTGAAAAGTTTAGAAGAATTTACAGTATTGTGAATGAAATCCCAATGGTCCTAAAATTTCAATTAAACATCCAAAAAGTTCAGAATATTCTGAATGAATTCCAGTAGTGTTCCAAATAAATTCCATCTTGAGAGTACTGATGTACCAGTAGCATGGAATAGTGTATATGTGCTAACAGTCTTAATATCTCACAATGTTATAATCCACAAGAAGCTTGTGATCATATAGTCGAATGAACTTGAGGAGAAGAGATGTGATGAGACTCATGCAAGAAATTTAACCATATATGCATGCTCAAGTGATAACAAGGAACAACTTCAACGCGGTGGTTCAATCACAGATAAAAAAATTCCTCCACCATTAATACTGGCTGCCACGAATAGCCTATATTGTGCTGAAAAATGGCGTTAAGCCCAACAACAACAACAACAACAACAACAGATCAAAAATGCCGAAAAGCGCCTACAGCTAGGATGAAGCACGATGACGAGTTGGCGGCCTATCACCAACAGGTAGTGGTTAATCAACACTGTCACTCCATCATCAGATGTTCATACAACTGGTAACATTATGACCCGGCTGATGATGATTTTGGTGCAGTTGTGAATACACTGTAGTACCAGTTATGTAATAAATTAGATCTGCACGTATTGATGACACACATTGTATTTGACTGGCTAAATTTGTCTCCTCATTTGATATAGAGACATTTGTACTCATCTTGTGTCAGTAAAAGCTGCTAAATGGATTTACTTCAAGAGCATTGATTTCGAATTGTGATCAAGAAACTTCATGCTAATTGTGACATTACCTTAAAAAAATTTCTTGTCAGGCTATAGTAAAAACACATGATATAAAAGAATTTATATAGGTTGTGTTTAGTTACGATACTTCGTGGTCCTGCGTAGTGAAATGGTCAGCTATTAAGTTATATAAATTAGGTGAACAATATCATGGTTACATGGGGTCTTTTCTTTTTGCTTTTTGTTTTTACAAAAGTCACCTGACTGTGATAGGAAGTTGTTCAGTTTTTAGCATAAGAATAATTAGATGCCACAGGAGAAGATACTGGTCAGCTTTACAAAGTAAATTTGCGCAATTATTTTCTTTGTACTCTCCAGAGACTTTCTTGAGTTG